CTACGATTTTACGTTTTTATGATTTTTTTCATCAAAACGATTTTACCAATATTCTAAACGCTTTTACAATTTTTTTATATTACGATTTTACGTTTTACGATTTTTTAATCCTTTTCCGATTTTACTTAAAATCTCGATTTTAACAACATTGTCCCACAACTAAAAAAAGAAGAAAAAAATATTGGCTCGAATTTCGATGGGTGTGTAATATGAGATAAGTTTTTCTTACGTAACATAAGAAAAATATTTCTCTTATTTATAATAGGGTTCGGTTTTTCTGCAGTTACTGCAGATAAGTTATCTGCAGTAAACTCAATACGACATCGTTTTGGAGCAGAAATCATAGTGTTTTTATAATTAAAATTTATTTCAGGGTTTAATAGTTTTTATATTTATAGTTTTTTAAGATTTCAATACCAAAACGACGTCGTTCAGTAACTGCAGAAACTTTTTTCTCTTTATAATATCCTTTAATCGGCAAAAAAATTGATATATAATTATTTTCATAAAAAATAACGAATATATAGTCATTTTGAACCAATTTATGAATTTATTGCATTTAGTTTCGTCCAATTTAGGCGAAACGGAATCTCACCCCACGCAGTCGAAATTGGATTTGGATCCTCTCATATGTACAAATGATTATATTATTTGATCACAACCATTCATTAATACAATATAAGAGAGAGAAAAAAAGTGTATAATTTTTAAATAAATAATTGTGATAATAACCACATGACCATTTTCGAAACTAGTCTCGCCCCGTTGGGCGAAATACCTAAGCCAAATGGGTGAGACTCAGGTTGCTATTATTGAAGTTCCGTGGATGTGAATGCTTATGATAGAGAAAAGGCAGAAAAGAAAAACTCACAGTTAATGCCACTGAAAACTGAAAGAGCAATTTCCTTAGCTGCTTCTTCGTACACCTGCCTTGGGGGGCAATTAGTTATAAATACTCGGTCTACAGCCAAAAGAAATCAAGGTGGGTCAGAAGAGGGTAGTTTTTAACCCAAGTAGATCTGATGGAATAAAAGCCAAATATGATCTTAGTAGAAGAATAGCTTCACTGACAAATCTTTTTCTAAACCTCCAATTCCAACGATGACAATGAGATCATGTCCTGAATTCAGAGCATTACAAAGGTCAATTTTAATCAAATGTTATCGCTCCATAAAATAGCAAACATAATGAAAGAATGATAATGTTTTATGCAATTTTAAATTCAGATATGTCAGAGAGGGGAAACAAATAGTAATTGACCAACATCATCACATCAGCTCCAATAATTTTAAAACCAAATTGCGGTGCTTTCTGTATTCTTATGGAAAGCTTAGATTTTTCTGGGATGGTCCCCAAGAAAAGGATCAGATTGTCAAATTCTCCTTCACATGTCAGGGTGTTGAGTCTCGCCCAAATGGGGCGACTAGTGTTTCACCCAAACTGAGCAAGACTAGTTTCGCCTCTGTGGGATTAGACTCCTTCAAGTGTTTCACCTAAATTGTACGAGACATGTTTAACCTAAATTGGATGGAATTTGGTATAATAAATTCATAAATTAGTTCAAAACAATTATGTATGTTATTTTTTATTAAAATAATTATATATCAATTTTTTTGCCTCCTTTAATCTATCCACAAGAAAACTATTACTCAAATTAAATATTATAATTTAATTAATCCAAATGTATAATTATAATATTTTTAATTAATTTTTTTCTTTAAAATATATTATATATTAGACTAAAACATCATCTCATCCGCTCATTATTAATTTATTATTCAAAATTGAAATAAATAAACAAATGACTTATACTTATTAATTTCAAATTTTCCAAATTCTAGCACTTTTTTTTTTTTTTGGTAAGCTAGCACTTGTTACTTCTATTCTATGCCTTTTCGCCCCCGTTTTATTATTTTATCTTATTTTACTTCAATTCGTTTTTTTGTCCTTTGTTAATTTTACACTGGTATAAAGATAATAAATTTGTTATCAAACTTTAACTCTTATTTTATTTATATCAAATGATTCAATTAGGATTAAAAATATTTAAAATGATCAATATATATATATATATATATATATATATGTTATAATATTTTTAGATAGTTAATTTTAGTTATGAAAATTTGTAAATTATTTTCAAATATTTCTTTATTATATTTTTAAGATGAAATTATATTAATTTAAATAAGATTAAATTTTTATTTTTTAAAAAATTAGGTCATATGTACTTTTTATTAATATTATAAAATAATTTTATAGTAACTAAATAAATTTGTAAAATAATTTATTTAAAATTCAAAAATATACTTAAAATTTAGAGGATGTTACTCGTATATAGAAATATTCGCGTACCATTGTAGATTTGTAGTGGAGAGGAGATCTACCTGATTTTTAAACAAACAGAAGACATTGAAACAAACATCAATCGCGGTGTACATACTCTTGTTAAGATACAAGAAGTACAGAATCCATGTGACCACTGACAAGGTGAAAATAAAAGTATGGATTGGAATTTGGAAAATAATGAAGCATGGATTGGATCAAACAAAACCAGGACCAAGAGTCTCGGTTTTGTCGGTAAAATGAGTTTTCATCCAATTACTTAACATTTGTTGATATATCATCATCACTCGTTTTAGAGGTTTGTTGGCATGTTACATTAACCATCTTCTTCAGCATAGTATGAAAATAAATTAAACAATAACAGCACGTTTTGGATAAAATATTTGGTTTCTTCATTTTTCACTCTTTTCCTCCTATTTTAATTTTTGGAAAACCCCTCTTGACGATAACTAGTTAAGCAATTTCACAAATTATATGGACGTAACTCAAAATATATTAAATTTAATTTATGTAAAAATATATAAATTAAAGTGATATAATAATTAAAGTGTTGTGATTTAATAATTAGTATTATACTTATCTTTTTTTTAGGTCTGGCTGATCGGATTACATGTATGGCCGTAATAATCTTGAGCAACCTATATATTTAATATGTGATATTCGAGCATGATTTTAATAATTTGTTTTATCCAAAGAAAGCTTGATTTATTGTCAAAGCAAATACAATCAGCTTAATATCTTTCAAATGGACCATGATCCTGCTAGAGATTCACGCATGATTTCCTCAGTAACCAATGAGCCACACACGGGTGTTTGGTACGCGGGATTTTGAGGGATTCTTGGGAAATTGAATTTTTTTAAATTTTAAATTTTCAGATATTATCGTAAACTGAATGCAAAAATCATATTTTTGAAAATCGAGATTCCCGGACAAATAAAAATTTCTCCTGTACCAAACGCCGACAATAAGTCAATAACCAATGCGCCCATTGGTTAGCCAATATGTCCTCCGGCATGGCTCATGGAACCAAGATATTCACTGTGCCCCCACCAGACTTGCAGCAATTATTGGACACAACGATTAAATTCTCACTGTTTATACAAATTATTGCCAAAATGTCATGTCTAAGAATTTTTTTTATCAAAGTCCCACGTTACATCACGTGATGAGTTAGAATTGATCATATAACTAGTTGTGTAAAGTTCTATGAAACTCGCTCGCTGAAGAAATCAGCTATTTAAGTGGACCCCACTTATCACCTCCCCTCCCCTTTGCCACCGCCCCCATTTCTCTCTCTCTCTCGTCCCTCCCCTCTTTCCCTTTCCATCGTCTGTGCACCCATTCCCTTTCCCCTCTCTCTGGTCCCCCCCTCCCCTTCCCCTTCCCCTTTCCCCTTTCTTCCTGTCTAACGTTTTTCAACTTTTCCTTTTTGTTTAACATTGAAGATAAAATTATACTACCACAAACATTAATCCCAATAAAAAATATACATATCGAGATCACTCGGAAAGATACAAATGTTTATTAATCTCTTCATAAAAGCAGCTATTTTTTTAGGAAGATACGAATATTTTCTCTATGAGAGACTTGACAAAAACGACAATTTTGTCCTGGTCAGGAAGGTTTTCTCCAGTTCAGGGGGTAGGTAGGTAGAAATGATTTTTAATGTCTTAAGAGAAGTTTAGTTAAAGTTTAAAAATATAAAATATAAATTATAAATAGATTCAAAGTAAAAATAAAAGGAAAAACTTTTTTCATGTTACATGAGATAAATTTTTCTTCCTATACACCTTTAATAACTGTGCCACTTTTTTTATTTTTCAGGTGATAGAGCTCACAAATTTGTGACATGAGATAACTTAAATAAAATAAAATACGCATTCCATTTATCATAGAAAATATCCCATTTAATTACTCTCTTTATTTCCAGAGATGAAAAAAATTAAAGGTAGAATTTCTACAATTTCCTAATTAGTGTTATTGAAACCAGATTAATTATTGATTTAATCAGGATATTGGGTTACTGATTGAACTGAATAATTTAATTCATATAAAAATATATAAATAAAATAATGCAATAATTAAAGTGATGTAGTTTAACAATTAAAATTATACTTATCTTTCTTAAGGTCGATATCAATTTAAAACCGGTTGACCGGATTACATTTACGACCGTAATAACAGATCCTATTCAGCAACCTTTTTAATATTTAAAATTCGAGCATGGTTTTAATAATTTTTTTTTTTTTTTGGTAACATGGTTTTTTTTTTTGGTAAAGTGGTAACATGGTTTTAATAATTTGTTTCCTCCAAACGAAGCTTGATTTATTGTCAAAGCAAATACAATCAGCTTAAACTTTTATTACTTTCAAGTAACGTAAGAAAAACCGAAACATAAAGGTTGGGAACATTGAAATACGCATATGCCGAGATTTTTTTATAGGGAAATAATACTCTCATGCCACAGGAGAGTACATCATTTTCCTACACAAATTCGTTTTCCGTGTCAATTAATTTTTCTTTTCTTTTTTAAAATAAAATATGAGACCCACATTTAACTTCTCTCTACTTTTTTTCTCTCCTACAATCCTACAACATAAGAAAACTTAAACCCTTTTTTATAAACGACGTGTATATACATGAGAGAGAGACAATTCTGCTGGAGAGGAATTCAATATTAAAACTTTAAATTCCTTGCAAAGATATACCGGTTAAAATAAAACTCATGCTGTAATCCACACATATTCAGGTCAGATCCAAATTGAGCTACCTTCATTTAGTATATACATTTATAGAGACAATACATAAAGACGCAAATACTTTATATTTCACTTCATAAAAGTTACCATTTTCTTAGGAAGATGCGGTACTTTTCTCTCTGAGAGACTTAAGACAAGCGACAACTTTCTCCGGGTCAGGGAGGTTTTCTGCGATGACCGGGACATCTCTGAAATTATTAAACCATGAAATCAAGCGAGGGAATTTCTCAGCTTCTAGGACTTTCACTTCAAAGATATCTTCCTCAACCAAAACAAAATTAGCAACGGACCCTAAAGCTATGTCCACGATGTTAATAGTGTCTCCCCCAAAGAATTTCTTCTCATCACCAAAGCAATGATCTTCAACAACTCTGAGATGCTCCCAGATCTTCTCTATTGCCTTCTCCCGCTCTTCGCCAGTACTGCTAAGGAAGAGTGCCGCAACTGCAGAAAACTTCCAAAAATTGACCCCCAAATATTATTTTTACAACAGGGTACACTAAATTTAATTATAGCTGAAAGGTAAACTGAACATGAATTATATAAGAAAGGCTAGAAAAATGCAAATGATTAAGTTTCTAAATAAATATGTACCATGTCATCGGCATATTTAGCCCAAAACCGTGCAAGAGCTCTCCCATATGGATCAGCAGGAAGCAATGGATTCTGTGACCATATCTCATCAATGTATTCAACAATGATCATGGACTCGCATATGGGTTTTCCAGCATGAACGAGAACTGGAGTCTTCTTGTGAACTGGGTTGTATTGAAGAAGTTGAGGACTCTTGTTGAAGCGATCTTCCTCTGTGTAATCATATGGTATACCCTTTAGCTTTAGGGTCCACACCACCCTCCAACTAAAGGGACTATACCAAAATCCGTGTAGCTTCACCTCTGCCATCGTAGCTTGTGTTTTTTCAAAGCCAACACTAGTCTATACTTATAGGAAACGTTTGGTTTGGTGAGAAGATATTTTTTTTTTCTGGTTTGTTCCACAAGCTCAAATTTCTAGAAATAAAATATATTATCTATTGCTAACAAGTAATAATCAGATTCAGATCGAACAAACATTATGTGGACCTTCCTTCTTTCTTCGTCTTTGTACTTTGTTTTGTTTTTATTTTACTCACCAACAAATATATATTTTATGAAGGAGATTATATTTACAGATTTTTTTGTTTACAAACTATATTAAGTACGGTCATACTTTAATCATGTAGTGTACGACCGATCGTACTTAGTGTATCTTACAAAAAAAGTTTGTAAACAGATCCTATCCCATGTTTTATTACATCAAATGACATTTTAATTACTTTTATGCCTGAATAAAATAAAGAATAATCAAATATTAAATTTGTGCAAATCTTTTCTAAAAATCGTGTAATTTTGTCTTTCATAATTTCCAATGTCAAATTTGGAGAGGAAAAATGATATTTACACAATTTCCTTTTCTCACATTGTTGCACATTGAGCATTGATGGTGAGAGAAGAATAAAGATGATGATAAAGAGGAATATGTGATAGATGTGAGTTATTTTGTTTGTGAAAATATCATAAATTTGTGTGTAGAAATCATGCAGTAATAACTAATAACGATTCTTTAATGTTACAATACCGTATATGTTTAATTTATTTTTTTTAAGGAAAAAATTTGTCTTGGTGATTCAAAGCTTGATATATTTAAAGACTAATAACCAAATTTATTAAAACATTAAGTGTTAATGTGGTGTTCAAAGCTTAGCTACTCTAATATAATTTAGGACAAGTTTTTGGAATAAGAGTATCTAAATTCTATACACTGTATGAGGGGAGATATTTTCATCGGTTCACTTTTTTATGTCACATGACAAGAGTTTTTTACTTACACACACGAATAAAAATGTGGATCTCACACTTAAAAAAAAAAGTCAAGATCCGAAACCGGATTATTTTGTTAAAAAAGTTAGGATACAGAATCGGATCGTAGTGCAGGACGAAACAATGTTATCCCTACAACATGATAAACTGATTTTTCTATTTTTATTATCAAATTTTTTCACTATCAACTCATTACATATCTAATCACCATTAGATCACAGAGAGAATGCTGATAATTTTTTAAAGAGAGAGAAAATATTGATCTAATGTTGATTATATAAGTAGTGTATTGATAATGAATTTTTTTGGTAGTAAGATATCCCCTCACACAATAAAGCATAATCACTGGTCGAGGTATTTAGTCACTAGTCAGACCGATTGATCGTATACATATAAACATATTACACATAAATATGAACATATAAATTTAATTATATTTTCTATATCTAAAATGAGTTAAACAAGGTTCACTAAATAAGCTCAAAAATTACCAATCACACTTTTACAAGTTTATAAAGCACAAATAAATGAAAATGCACGATATTATTATGTCAATTTAAATACAATTCATAATCCTCATAAACATACGTCTCAATGACATTTAAAAGACCAGATGTTATGAATACATATTTTTCAAGTTCATCTATATTGAAATGACATGTCACATTTTTTTAATTTATTATTCAGCAAATTACTTCAGTATTAGAAGATAAAATTTGAAATCATTATAAAAGAGTATACTATTAATAAATAAAATTATAATTTTTTTTAAAATGAGTTCTACATATTTTTTTAACAAGATAAAACAATTCTGAATTTTTTTTTATAAAAATGCATGGCCTGATTGATCATCGGATCATTAATTTTGGCGGAATTTTCATCAGATCTAATACATAACCGATTTGATACTCGAGTCAAATACATCCAATAATTAATTCGCCAAATTTCTCATAACAATGAGCATAATCCATCCGTGTGGAAAATTCTGAGGATCTGAATTTTCTTATGTGAAAATTCACATAATCATATTATGTGGGAAATCATAATCATATAAAGATAGATTAATGATAATAAAAAAAAAATATTAAAATAAATAATTATAAAATCATAACTGTTGATTTAACTTTGTATGATTATAATTTTTTCATACCACCGTATACTATTTTTTTTTCACCGGATCCATTTCCAAATTCTGAACACTATTTTAGGCGCTTTCACTCTTGACTCGGTGTCGTAAGTGCTTGCATCACTGACAGTGACTGATAAATGTGTACGTCCATGCTTCATTTTATTATCATTTTCTTTAATTGGATTTTGTTTTACTTTTCGTTTATATTGAAGGTGCGAATATTTATGAAAGTGAGGGAGTGGTTGATGGATGGATACCTGTCTGCGTAGGAAATTTCTCTGGTGTTACGACTGTGCTATAAATTTGGTGCATCTTTCATTTATATAGTGACAGATATTTTATTTTTGTCAAAATAATAATAAATAATTTATTTTAAAATTAAAAAAAAGAGTGATTTAATATAAAATAAAACATAAGTAAAAGATACACCAAATTTTTGATACATATTTAATACCGAAGATATTATTGTCTGCATAAGCACTTCACTCGACTTTCAATATTTATGAAAGTGAGGGAGTGGTTGATGGATGGCTACCTGTCTGTATAAGCACTTCTCTCGACTTTCAATAATGGATAAGAAATTTGAAATATGTGTATACGTTTATGAAAATATTTTTAGAGAAAAATAAAATTTTTAATTTTATATTGATATTTTTTAAGCGTAAAATAATATAAAAGAATCTTATATTAACTAAATAAATTTGTAAAATAATTTATTCAAAATTCAATAATATACTTAATTTTATTTTTATTTTTTTAGTATTTCTACTAACCGAATCATTCTTTAGGACTAATCCGGCCGGGAGCTGAGAACAACAAGGGTACTCCACCTCCTAACAGATGTGCTTCCCAAGTGTAGAACTTGAGTAAGCATGCTTCCACTTGGCCAGCACCTTATTGGTATATACTTAAAATTTAGAGGATGTTACTTGTATAATGAAATATTCGTGTTCTCTTATACATCAATATTGACACAGAATACGACATGTCAATATATTAATTTTAAAAAATATTAAATTTTAACATATTAAGACACGTTTTGATATTAAATAATATTTTTAATATATATAATATAATTAACATTAAATACATATAGCATTCTTTAATCAAACAATTTTTATATATTTTTCTTTTTAAAATGTTACTAGAAAAAAAAGTCATTATTATTTATTTATACAAGGTATATTAAATTTGCTTTATATCCTTATCCCTATTTTTTATAAAAAAAATATAAAAGAAAGAATATGCTAATCCGAAAAATCTCAATGGCTACAAAAAGCAAAGAAGAGAGAACATTTCTTATCACATTTGTCTTCTCCATGGGTCCCGCCATGTGCTTTGAATAATTAAACTTGCCATGCTTTCCATTGAATTTGTCAGTATTTTGAATGCTTTCCATTAGAAAGCGTGACACACCAAACAAAACTTTTGAAAGGTTTGCTTTTCTTTCCTTTTCGCGTGGAAACGACAAATTTCTAAGAGCAACTATCAATCAATCAAAGTTTCACTTGATGCTCATGCGTCGAATTTTTTTTTTCAATGCAACATATGTATGGTACATCCGTTCAGAAAAGAAAAAAATTGAGGGATCGATTTGATGAAAAATACTTAAAAAGGAAGGAATTAAAATGAATTTTTTTTTTACTTTAGGAAAAAAAAAAATGTACCAAATTGAATACATGCCATGTACATAAGAAATGTTCCACGCCTGGAGAGTCTGATACCGATTAGCACTTGTGCAGGCATGATTTCTCACGTGCATACCATCGACGAATGTAGTGGTGGTGTTGGGGGTCGTGGAGGGGTGCACGCGGCGTGTCCTTCATCTACGGCTTATTTATGTTGGCGTCGAAAATAAAATGCAATACGGAGGTGACGCCAGCAGGCAGATGTTGAAGATGACTAAATTGCTGCTGATTTCGTTGCCGATGTTGTTGAGAACTGACTGAACTGTGTTGAAAGCCGCCAAGAGCATGGAAGAACTGAAGGAACACAACAAGCGAGGAGATATATGGATCTCCATTCACGGCATAATCTCCCTAGTATTATTCCTCCATTGCTCTAGTTATTTTTTATTTTATTTTAAAAAAAAACATTTATGTTTTATTTTAGAATTATTTTAATTTTATAAAAAATTTGAAAATCTTATATTTTTGCTCTTTGATCCTGTCGGACAGGTCAAAATCGTGCGTTGAAATAATCAACGTGTTCCAAAACGTTGACAGCGCGTCAGATGTGTGTCGATATAGTCATACTATTTTCAGCATAGTATGAAAATAAATTAAATAATAACAGCAAGTTTTGGATAAAATAATTGGTTTCTTCACTTTACACTTTTTCCCTCCTATTTTAATTTTTGGAACTCGAAGATAACTTGTTAAGTAATTTCAAAAAATTTATGGACAGAATTTCAACGGGTTGGATCGACTAATTATGTTGCAATTTTTTTTTTCCCAAACCAACTTATTTAGGGATAGTTGCAGTGGCGAAGTTAAGAATTTATACGCGAGGGTCGAAAATAAAAGTGATTATTATTCCGGAGGTTCACCTATGCTTTTTCACCACTCTCTGAAAGTCAATATTTTCCACATCAATAAGATTTTCAAGCATCTCCAAATCAATGTTTTTTGATTTGGGTTCATATCTTTCTAATTTGAGTACAAAAGTATTTACTGTAAGAGTGGTGAAAATTTTCTCAATACCCTTTTGGGCAAACATTTCTCTACAAGCTCATAGAACAAAATATTCATCACAAAACCATAAAAAGAACCATTATCTCATTGAAACACAAACTTTTATGGGTATTTTTTTTAATTTCAACGGATAAAATCATAGATAACAATGGAAATATAAACTAGAAGACTGAAGAGCTGTTGTAACCAAGACAACCATGGCGGCAACAACAAGAGTAGCAGATTTACTACCACATAACAACATCCCCAAGCAAATCTCAATAATATTAACCATAGAAAGCATCAAGAAAAGGAATGAGAACTGGAAGCAAGATTCTTGTTGGTTGGGTATTGTCGTGCAATTTGTAATCAATTAAATCAATAACACAAATATGCAAATGCACGTGTCACAAGTAATAAAGAGATGTGTGAGTCCAATATCGTTTTAAAGAGATAATTTACAAAGTAATGATTATTTAAGTAAAAAAATTGATTTTTATGATTGAATTTGTAAAACGCCTCTTAATCCGAAAGAACCTATTAAGTAAACGTATCTCAAAAAGATTATGTGGTTGACTAAAAAATAGTTAACCATGGTTTTGATGCTTTTATGTCGTTTAGTATCAATGTTAATAAAATCAGACCGACTCGACCTGATCGGCTCGAGAATCGATAAATCGTTATATAACCGGTCCGGTTGAAACAACGGATCAACCATGCATCAGAACCGGTACGACCCGATCGGTTTTTGTGAAAATCAGCGACCTGGCCTGGTCCCAAAAAAATATTTTTCAAAAAATAATATAATGGACATATTTGAGTATTTTTTTTCTTATTGACTTACCAACAATACTAATATTATCTCTAATATGTACTATGCAAGAAAATTTAATTTGATTTATAGTTAGAGATGTCGTTTACTGAACCTGAAGTCCTGTACCACGATCATTATATTTTTGTTTGATCCTTTATTGGATAATAATGAGTGATTTACTATTTTTTATATTAAAATATTTGAAATTTTTATCATTTTTTTAAATATTTGAGTATGTTTATAATTTTTTAATATAAATTATAGAATTGCATATAATTAACAGGTTGCTGTTTGAATCAGTGACTCAATACCTCTACCCTATGATGACCGGACACTGACACGGGACACGGGACACGGGACACGACACGATACGACATTTCGACACGTAAATCTTAAAAAATGTCATATTTCGACACGTTAGGATACATTTTGATATTAAATAATATTTTAATATGGGTTCGCTTTTTCTGCAGTTACTGCAGATAACTTATCTGCAGTAAGTCAATCCGAAGTCGTTTTGGGACGAAAATCATGGTGTTTTTGTAATTTTAATTTATTTCAGGGTTATAATAGTCTTTATATTTATAATTTTTTAAGATTTCAATACCAAAACGACGTCGTTTTGGGAATAAATGTAGATAACTTATCTGCATTAACTGCAGAAATATTTTTACCTTTTAATATATATAGTATAATTTATATTTAATACATATAATAACCCCTAAAAAATCATATAATCAATTAAATATTCAAATTCTATAAATATATAAAAGAAAAATAATAAAACATTTTGCTGGGAATAGATTGAAAGACCTTTGTATTCATTTTTTGGGTCAAAATATAATGAGTTAGGTGGGTCAAGGTCAATTGAATTCAAAGGGGAGAGTAGCAACCAGTTTGATATTTGTTGCCTACTCTTATTTAATTTTAACTTTTTTTTATAATTATAAAATTAATCAAACATAATTTTACGAAATCTCTTGTTATAAAAAGTATTTTTTCATAACAAAAAAAAAACTAAAAGCTAAAAGATCATAAGAGGTGTTTTTTTAAAATATATATCACTTTTTAAGAATTCTTAAATTTTTTTCAATTATAATCTTATAAGAAACTTTTATTCATAAATTATTATTTTTATGTTAATAATTTATGCTATAACAAATCATTTCATATCTCTCTCATCAAAACCTTGATAACAATTTTATATAATTCTTAAATAGTTTTTAACTTTTTTTTCTAATTTATTTTTTACTCTAACTTAAAAGCAGTTTTTACTTTAAAAATTATAGGGAGTATTATTTTTATAGTTGCGGTAGAAATAATACTTCCTCACATACACAGTGAAAGACGAGAAAAAATGCTTTGGTGGAATGAAAAAAAAAAAACTTTAACGAGAGAGAATACTTTTTTTTGTCAGTTCTGTCACAATTTGCAAAAATAATACTCCCAAAAAGATATGCCGAACATGCTGCTGATATTCGAGCATGATTCTCTTTCATACAGTGCGTTTGGATTTACTTTTTAAAAAAGTTATTTTTATGTCTTACTTATTTTAAAAATAATTTTTATAAAAGTTAAGACTATTTAGATATTTTAAAAAATATTTAATTTTTGAAAAAAAAAATTAGCTTTTGACTTTTGATTTTTTAAGAAGTTAAAATTTTTAGCTTTTGAAAAAAATAAATTTTTGATTTTTTTTATGACTTTTGCTTTTCTTAGAAGCAGTATCTAAATGCACTTTAAATTAAAAGTACTTTTTGTTTTTGAGAAAAAAAAATAACTTCTGACTAAAAAAACTCGTCCAAACGAGGCTTTAATATCAATGCAAATACAATCAGCTTAAACTTTTATTTCTTTCGAGTATATCAAGAAAAACCCAAACATAGAGGTTGATAACATAGAAATAAGCATATAGAAAGAGGTGACACACAAAGATGCAATTCTTTATTATTTATCACTTCATAAAAGCTACCGTTTCCTTCAAGCTGCCGAATTTTTTTCTATGATAGACTTGACACAAGCTACCGTTTTCTTATGGTCAGGAAGGTTTTCTGCGATGACTGGGACATCCTTGAAATTATTAAACCATGAATGCAAGCGAGGGAGTTTCTCAGCTTCTACGACCTTCACTTCATAGATATTTTCCCCAAACTCAATAAATTTTGCAACGGTCCCAAAAGCTATGTCAACAATGTTAATAGTGTCTCCCCCAAAGAATTTCTTCTCATCAGCTAAGCATTGATCCTCAACAACTCTTAGATGTTCCCTCACTTTTTCTATGTCCTTCTCCCGCTCTTCGCCACTATTGCTATGGTAGAGTGCCCAAACTGAAGGAATCTTTAAAAAATTGACCCATAATATTATTTTCACTTTTAATCAAGATAGGAATTTTAGAGCATATACACTAAGTTTAATTATAGCTGAAAGGTAAACTGAACATGAATTTTGTAAGTACAGATGCTCATGATGATCATGATGGAATGACTAGAAAAATGCATAAGATAAAGTTTATAATATATGTACCATGTCATCAGCATATCTGACCCAAAACCGTGCAAGAGCTCTCTCATGTGGATCAGCAGGAAGCAATGAATTCTGTGGCCATATCTCATCAATGTATTCAACAATAATCATTGACTCACATATGGGTTTTCCAGCATGAACTAGAACAGGAGTCTTCTTGTGAACTGGGTTGTATTGAAGAAGTTGAGGACTTTTGTTGTAGCGGTCTTCCTCTTTGTTTTCATATGGTATACCCTTTTGCTTTAGGGTCCACACCACCCTCCAAGTAAAGGGACTATACCAAAATCCGTGTAGCTTCACCTCGGCCATCGTTGCTTGTGTTTTCCTTAGCCAACACTAGCTTGTCTTTATAGAGTGATCCATGAAGTCATCTTGCTTGTTCAACAAGCTCAAATTGTCATCGTTCTTCCTCTCTGTTCTTTGTGGGCACGTCTTCCCACCCACATGACCTTTTTTTTTATTAGCACAAATTTCAGAATAAGATTTTCTTATTTCTGTACATTGTATCGTGTAAATATAATCCTATTTGCAATTGTGGAGAAGTGAAGAGTTTTTGATTTTTAGTATTTGAAAATTCATAGGATGATGGAATCTTGTAAGCATCCAATCTTGACTCAGCATCGTAAGTGCTTGCATCACTGTCTTTGTTGACTAATAAATATGTGTATATCCATAGTTCTTTGTATAATCGGCTTTTTAAAATTAGATTTTGTTTTGTTTTTCGTTTTTATATTGAAGGCGCAAATATTTATGAAAGTCAGGGAAAAATGGATTAGGGGAGTGTTTCATGAATAAGTGCTTGCCTTAGTTGCCTACTTAAACACTTAATTCACTCTTTTTTTTTTTTTATAGCCAATTCACTCAAATTTAAATATTACATAAGAAATTTAAAATATATATATATATATATATATATATATATATATATATATATATATATATAAATTCAGTCACTGGACGATCCAGTGCACTAAGTTTTCCCGCGAGAACTTAGTGTACTAAATATTATAATGATGTTCTCTCGGGAGAACATAATTATAATATTTATTATAAACTGTGTTCTCGCGGTAGAACTTAGTGCACTAGACTAAATTTTATATTTACAAACTTTTTCTGAAATTTTTTACAAATTACACTATGTTCTTCCGAGAGAACATAGTGTAGTTTGTAAGAGTTTGTAAACAAAAAAGTTTGTAAATATAACCTGTCCTATATATATATATATATATGCGTTTATCGAATATCTTTTTAGTGAAAAAATAATTTTTAACAGTATGTTGATATCTTTTTGAAGTGTAAAAAAATATTTATTTCGAATATTAAAACTTGTAATTCTTACTAAGAGTTCCAACAGGTATATAATGTAATTGACAATTAGAGGAAAAATTACATTACAAATTGTTAAAAGCTTTAATTAAATGTTTTTAATTTTTCTAATAATTTATAATAGGGATTTAATTTTTATCATGTTGGGGATAAATTTTATCTTTTACACATGGCTTTTTGACCCTTATGCCCCTTAATTAATAATTAATTACCAAATTGCCCCTCATTCAAAACTATTTCGAAAATTTACCCTCCCCAACAAACATAACACCAATCTGCCCCTGTTTGACCGTTGACCACGAAGCCTACCCGGGTACACCATTACCTACCCGGGTAAATTTTGAAACTTTTTATCTACCCGAGTATGTAGGGGTGTACCCGGGTAGAGTTCTTGAATCTGGAAAAATGTTTGAATTATTTACCCGGGTACGGAGCAGTGTACCCGGGTAAACATCGACGGTAGGGTTTTAAAATACCCCAGCAGCCCCATTTCGAAAACCCACAAAAGGGGTACCCGAGTAGAGCTGCTGGAGGAGTGTCATCTTGAGCGATTTCAGGCATAATCTTGCACTAATTCGTCTTGTTTGTGATCATCATTCGCGGACCTTGCAACCTCTCTGCCTTCTACCGATTGAAATCGATCAAAGGTGCATTTTTTTTCAGTTTTTTCAATTATGTTATGATTTCTGTTCTGATTCATTGTATTTTCGTTTATATCATTTGATTCTGTCCGAATTATTTTATCAATTTGTATGTCATACGCTTACCCTAACCCTAACCCTAACCCTGAATCTAACCCTAACCCTAACCCTAACCCTAACCCTAACATGTATCTAATTTCTGATTTTGGTTATTTTTTCAGTTTAATAGTGTGACACAATGACCTCTCGACGCGTTTCAAAGCTGCCAGTGACCCATTCCGAGAGAAGAACCAAGAGTCGTCACGATGGGTCGTCATCCTCTCAGCCCCAGGCTGCTTCGAGTCAGGCTCCGGACTTGACGTTCAGATATTTGTTTGAGGATGACATTCCTTCACACGAGAAGTTCGTGAAGTTTTTCATGACCCGGAAGATCTGCGAACCGAAATCACTGGATTCGGCATTCTTCAACCTAGAGCGTTTTGACATTGTGCCGCTTCTTGAGCAGACACATTTACTTCACCTGGCGGAGATGCGGTGCCCATACTCGGAGGTTATGGTAAGAGCCTTCTACCAGAACCTTGGCTACTCGCAAGGCGAGCTGACTTCCCGTGTCTGCGGGATTGATATCATCATGACTGCTCCTATCTGGACGGAGCTACTGGGGTTCGATTTTGATGGTGTCACAGGAGCAGCACTATATGATGGAGACAGCCATCATATATTTGGTGATTATAACCGGGAGACCATTGTTACAGAGACTAGGAGGGCAGACGCTGAGCCCGGTCATTTTGCTCATTATCCTGTTAGCAACTTGTCAGTTTCTGCTCGCATTCTTCATTATGTGGTGACACATATTATTTTCCAGTGCCCGCATAATCACTCAAAGGTGCTGGAAGGGGACTTTGTCATCCTGTGGGCCCTCCTTCACAGTCAGCAGGTGAACTGGAGGCATTACATATGCATACTGATGTGGAAGGCAGCCAAGTCAAAGAAGGCTGGAAGGGGACTTTGTCATCCTGTGGGCCCTCCTTCACAGTCTTCAATTCCACATTCCTAAAACGGGTATTGAAGTTGCTTCCGATGTGACGTAGACAAAATACATGATAAACATATGGAGGCTGCCACCCTCCGTGGTCTTTCACCGCCCTTATGATGCTTCGATGACGATCGGATATTAGACAAATACCATGCCTATGTGTGACATGAAAACGTAAAAGGCTAAGAAACTAGGACCAATCATCCAACCCAACTGTCTATGATCCTGTGCTAGGCCTTGATTTAGGCATGTGTGACCTTGACCCCATTTACGGACCACCCAGTTAGCTCCCTTCTTCGGCTTAATTGCCCTCATATACCAGGGACAACCGTCAGCATGGTTTTTACACTTCATAACAAATCTTGACTCGTCGCTTTTTTCAACTATGGCTGTCCTGCGCCCCTTCATACAATGTATCTTCACAGCATGTTGCAATTCTGGTTTGGACCCAAATTCTTGTTGCACAAATAACGGATCTCCTAACTTCCAACCTCCGTGCAAGTCATCATCGCCATATAGGATCTCCAACTCGTCATTAGGGTGCGCCCAGTTAATGAATGAATAATGTTGGCTTTCATTCCAGAATGGCTCCTCAGACCCTGCATCTAAAGATCATGTCAAATTTAATAACTTACCACAAATAATAAATTGTCTAAAGCAAATATTCAAATTTAATAACTTACCACTACTGACTGGGTCGACATGAAGTGGTGACAAGGCTGGGGTACCGAGACTTACGGCGCTCATGTCAGCCTCAAAATTACCGTCCACGTCAGTGTCTGACGAATCACCTTCTGGAATAGCACTTTCAGGTTCTCCCTCATCTTCGCTGTCCACATAGTCCTCGTCTTCATCCTCTTCATCCTCATCCCATGCTACCTGAGGAGGTGCAGAAGATCGTACAACTGTATCTTCTTGATCGGTACAGTGTGCAGTAGTGGTTGTATGCACCGGTAAAGATGAAGATTGTCCAACATCAACTTCAACATATATCTCAATATATTTTAATACTTTCCATTCAACAAACGCATCTGTTACGAACTCCACATCTTCATCATCATTTATATCGTTTCCAATGTAGTATATTGTATCCATATCCACTACAGTCTCTAACCTGGCTATCATGCGGTGGATGGAATGTATGCCTTCTGACCCCATTTTTTGAAGAATTCTCTCCTTCAGTTCATTGCATGTAGTGCCCACTTTGATTTTCATCGTTTTTGTTTTTCCTTCAAATCGGACACCGTTCGGACCTTCAAAATGCCTCCCATTGTAGTAAACAACTATAGGAACCATGTTTGGACTTGAACTCATCTTTCACACAAAAATTAGATCTAGGTTTTGGGTTTGGAGGTTGGTTCGGATTTTTTAGCACAAAATGGGAGTGTGGAGATGTAATCTCAATGTCCCACCAAGATTCAGCTTTCTGAAATGATGAGATGAAATATGTGTGATGTTTATGATTAGAGAGGGTAAGAGAGAAAGATTTGGGGTTTCAAAAACCCTATACCTCGCAACAATGGCCGAAACCCATACATATTGGGGTTTCTGGACGCGATTTACCCGGGTACACTGCTCCGTACCCGGGTAAATAATTCAAACATTTTTCCAGATTCAAGAGCTCTACCCGGGTACACCCCTACATACTCGGGTAGATAAAAAGTTTCAAAATTTACCCGGGTAGGTAATGGTGTACCCGGGTAGGCTTCGTGGTCAACGGTCAAACAGGGGCAGATTGGTGTTATGTTTGTTGGAGAGGGTAAATTTTCGAAATAGTTTTGAATGAGGGGCAATTTGGTAATTAATTATTAATTAAGGGGCATAAGGGTCAAAAAGCCTTTACACATACATGTAAGTGTATGAGATCAATGTCCCCCCCCCTCTATTCTCTTTACATTAATCCCTTTATAATATCTTATAATATATATCCAAAGTTCTTATGAACTAGAATGAAATTCGTAATCCAAAAAAATGAATGAAATTAAAAATATAATTTAATTCAAATATATAATTGCAACATATTTACTTAATTATACCATCTTCAAAATATATTATATATTGGACTAAAATTTCATAGCAATCGCTCGTCATTAATTTATTATTTCGAATTAAAATAAAAAAATAAAAAATGACTTACTCTTTTTAGTTTCAAGTATTCCAAATTCTAGCACTTTTTTTTTTTTTTTGTATGCTCTCCCTGTTGTTCGGTTTTTTTATTTCTTTTTGTTATTTTTGTTACTTTTTTTTTTCCTTTGACACAGTCTTATGTTGACACACTCTTATCCCCTGTGTCACTTTCTCTCCGATTATAACATCCATATAATAATAAACCTTGTATGAAATTTTAATCGTTAATTTATTTATATTTAATGAAAATAAGATTAACTACTAATTAAGATCAAGTTAGATACATAAATTAAACGAAGAGTTAGTCAACAAATCTTACTTTTAATAAAAGAGGCAGTGAAAAAGTCTCTTAATCCGAAAAAACCTATTAAAGATAAAGGAATTATTAATTTCATGCAATAGGAGAGAACTCTCTCATGCAATAGAGATAATCATGTGTGGGACCCATCCACTATAGAAAAAGAAAAAAAGAAAAAAAAAGTAACACGAAAATCGAATTTTTCTCCTACAACATAAGAGTATATTTTTCCTAAGATAAACGTATCTCACAAAAAGATTTTGTGGTTGACTAAAAATTAGTTAACCCTTGGTTTTGGAAGAAAGATATTTTTACTACTAAAATTTTCTACTACCAACTAAGTACCTATCTAATCACCATTGGATCAACATTTTTTCTTTTTTCAAAAACTTTTTAGCATTCTCTCTCTTTGATTCAATGATGATTAGATAGGTAGTAAAAAATTTTGGTAGTAAAAATATCCTCCCTCTTGGTTTTGATACTTTTATGTCGCTTACTACCTTTTAAATAAAACAGAGGCAAGGGATTATGGGTTTTGCATTTTCTGTCGGGGACGGAAGTTTCATTTACTCTTCCTCTGCATTCTTGGGTAAATCGTAAGAACCAGCTACTGTCGATTTTCCTTCTTTTGCAAAAATATTCGCTCCCTGTTTTTTCTTGTCTCTTGATTCCTCCTTGTGATCTATCTTGTAACACATAGGTGTGGTTAAAATCCCTCCTTTAACATTCTAAATTTGTTCTCACGATTTTCGGAGGAAATTGTTAAAAAAATTGAGTGACAGAGGGTGTACATGACAACCATTCTATTTCCTAGTACTGTTTCTGAAAAGAAATAATTCTTTTCTATTTCTGTGCCTTGGAACAGTTTCTGAGAAAAAAAATGTGTTTGATAACATGTTCTATTTTTATTCCAATAATGAGAATTGTGTTTGATAACACAACAAATAATATAATAAAAATAATTCATATTAATTTTAAAAAATTTTGGGTCATCACTTTTCTTTTCATATGGTATAGTTGTGGTGGTGGTGGTGGCAACGGCGGTAGATAGTGGTGGTGGTTGTGATGGTAGTGGTTGCAGCAATGGTGGTGGTAATAGTGGCGACAGCGGTGGTAGTGGTGGGGATGGTGGTGGTGGAGGTGACGACAGTGGCTGCGACAATGGTGGTGGGGATGGTGGTTGGTGGTGACGACAATGGTAGCGGTGGCATAGTGGTGGCGATGATGGCAGTGGTTGCGGCGGTGGTTGGTGGCGGCGGCAACCGCGGTGGTGGTGACGGTAGTGGCTGAGGCAATGCTAGTGGTGGTTGGTTGCGGTGACAGCGGCGATGGTGGTGATGGTAGTGGCTGCGACAATGGTAGTGTTGGTTGGTGACAGTGGTGGTGATGGTAGCAGTGACGTCGTGGTGGTGGTGGTAGTGATGGCGATGGTGGTGGTGGCAGTGGCGTGGCGGTGACGGCAGTGGTTGCAATGATAGTGGTGGTGGTTGGTGGCGGCGGCAGCAGCGACGGTGGTGACGGTAATGGCCGCGACAATGGTAAGGGTGGTTGGTGACAGTGGTGGTGATGGTAGCAGTGGCGTTGTGGTGGTGGCAATGGTGTGGGGATGGCGATGGTGGCGATGACGACAGTGGTTGTGATGATGGTGGTGGTGGTGATGGTGGTGGTGACAATGATAGTGGTGGCGGCGGAGATAGTTGTGGTGATAGTGACGGTGGCATAGTGGCAGTGAAGGGTAGAGGTGGTGGTGATGGTGGTAGCGGCATCGTGGTGGTAGGGGTGGTGACGACGGCACTAGTTGTACGACTGCGCCAGCGACGATGGTGGATGTGGTCTTGTCGGGATGATAGTGGTGGTGGTATTGATGGTAGAGGTGAAGAGTGATTGAGAAAAATAAGTATTTCTCATTTTGTGTTCGAGAACAAAAAAAAGCAGAATTTTTTTGATGCTTTTTCTGTTCTCCGGCACAAAAATTAAATCGGTTCATCCCAGGAACAAAAAAATAAACCAGTTTTACCAAACGAGCTTTCTATACATTTCTGTTCCCGGGAACAGAAATTAAAAAAAAAATGATTCCGAAAAGGTTGTCATGCACACCTAAAGAGTCTCGCATTGGGAATAGATTGAAAGACTTATGTATTCATTTTTTGGGTCAAAATATAATATGAGTTATGTGGGTCAATTGAATTCAAAGGGGAGAGTAGCAACCAATTTGGTTTATTGCGTATTCTTATTTTTAACTTCTCTTTTCCTTATAATTATAAGCTTAATCAAATATGATTTTACAAAAATTATTATTATAGAAAAAAAAATTATAAAAAAAAACTCATAGGAGAAACCTTTTTAATATGTATATCAATTTTTAAGAGTTCTTACATTTATTTTCAATTATACTTTTATTATAAACTTTTATTCATAAATTTTATTATTTATCTTAATAATTTATCCTATAACAAGTTATTTTATTCCTCTCACATCAAAACCCCGATAACAACTTTATATAATTATTAAATAGCTTTTAATTTTATTTTTAAATTCTTCTTCTAATAGCTTTTAATTTAAAAAATATATATGTCAAACTGGCTCTTGATATTCGAGCATGATTCTAATATTTTTTTTTCTTTAAAGACTTTGTTTGAGAGTTTGGAGGGAAAAGAAAGGAAAGGAAAGGGATTCCAAGGGAAAGAAAATGAAGGATATTCTCTTCGCTTGTTTGAGACTTAAAAAAAATGATAAGGGAGAAATTGGAGGGTTAAAGAGACATTTTTACAATTTTACCTTTTTTTCAAATTAATATAATTATTATATTTTTCAAATTAAATTAAATTTAACATTTCTAAACAAAATCATTTATGTATTTTTCATACTACTAAAAAAGATCATATTTTTTACAAAAATTTTACAATGCAAACGACGAAAATTTCTTCAAAAAATTACTTTTCCGTTGGAATACTTTTCGTCGAAAGACGCTAGAATTTTTATCTGATGAAATTTTTTACAAAAATAAATTTTCTATCAAATTTTTTGACGAAATTTAGTTTCTGAAATTTTTTTTGACAAAAATAATTTCTTAAATATTTTCGATGGAAAAAAATTCCATCAACAGTTTTGACGGAAAAAGAATTCCGTTAAAATTTTTGACGGAAAATTTTTCTTCCAAAATTTTCTATGAACATGCGTCCCGATGAAAAATTCGACGGAAATTAGATTCCGAAAAGAATTTTGACGTCATATCTTTGTCGTCGAAAATGTTTACGGAATTTTCGTCAAAGTTTTTATTGAAATATTTGTCCGTTGAAGATTTTGATAGAAATTTTTTTTCGTCAATATTATTTACAGAAATATTTTTCGTCGAAGATTTCGACGAATTTGGTTTTCTGTCAATATTTTGACGGAATTTAAATTTCGTAAAGAATTTAAAAACAAAAATCTGTCAGAATTTTTTACAAAACTGTTTTTCATCATGAATTTTTACGGAAATATTTTTCGACGAAAAATTTTGCTAAAAATTTGTTTCGTTGAAAATTTTGATGGAAATATTTTCCGTGAAAACAAAAATATGACAAAATTTGTGTTTTGTGAACAAATTTCGATGGAAATGTGTTTTGTTGAAATTTTCAATGGAAATATTTTTTCTTGAAAAGTTTGACGAAATATTTTCGTTGACAGTTTCAACGAAATTAGATTTTAAAAATTATTTTGACTGAATTTTATTTCCGAAAAAAATTTATGTCAGTGATTATGGCCAAATCTTGTTCCGTCTCTAATTTCGTCTTTAGTTTCAACGAAAAAAATTCTGTCTCTATTTTTGACGTAATATGATATTCGTCAAAAATTGCATCTCTACTTTTGACGAAATATTTTTCGTCGATAAATTTTGTTGGTATTTGAGACTTTTCTAATAATGTCACATTTAAAAATGATTCATGTTTACGTACTTTTCACATTTTAATGCTAAAGGAAGATAAATAATTTTTAATATTTCCTCCTGAAACATCCCAAATTGAGGGAACTTTAATTTTAAAGGTGAGAAAGTTTTGGAGGATTTTGTAAAAATCTCCAATTTTCTTCCCCATTTTTATAAACTCCCAAACAAGGGAAGAGATTAATAAAACCCTTTTCTTCTTTTCCTTTCCTTCCTAAAACTAACTCCCAAACAAAGCTGGAAATTAAATTTAATATTAAAGCAAATACAATCAGCTTAAACTTTTATTTCTTTGGATTATATTAAGACAAACCCAAACAGTTGCTAACATAGAAAGACACATATAGCGAGAAATGCTTTATTATTTGGAATTTATTTATCTCATTCAACAAAAACAAGGTAATGAAGTCTACAATTAAAATAAAATAAAATAATGAATTTCACTGCTTTGTCTCTAGATGAGATAATTATCTCATGTCAAATGAGATAATTATTTCCCTTATTATTCATATCTTCATCAAAGCTGCCGTTTCCTTTAAGCTGCCAAAAGTTTTTCTAGGATAGACTTGAAACAGCCTACCGTTTTCTCATGGTCGGGGAGGTTTTCTGCGATAACTGGGACATCCTTGAAATTATTAAACCATGAATGCCAGCGAGGGAGTTTCTCAGCTTCTACGACCTTCACTTCATAGACATCTTCCTCAATCTCAATAAATTTTGCAACGGATCCAAAAGCTATGTCAACAATGTTAATAGTGTCTCCCCCAAAGAATTTCTTCTCATCACCTAAGCACTGATCCTCAACAACTCTTAGATGCTCCCTCACTTTTTCTATGGCCTTCTCCCGCTCTTCGCCAGTCTTATTGCTATGGAAGAGTGCCCCAACTGAAGAAATCTTTAAAAATTGACCCATATATAAATATTATTTTCACTTTTAATCAATATAGGAATTTCAGATCATAGAAAGCAATGAGAAAAAAAACAAGGTATACTAAGTTTAATTATAGGGTTTGTGTTTTCTAAAGTTACTTTAGATAACTTTATCTAATGTTCACCGAAACGACGTCGTTTTGGGGCGGAAATCATGGTGTTTTTGTAATTTTAGTTTATTTCAGGGTTATAATAGTCTTTATCATTCTAATTTTTAAATTTTTTAACCCTAAAACGACGTCGTTTTGATGAACATTAGATAAAGTTATCTAAAGTAACATTAGATATTTTTTTCCCTTAATTATATAGCTGAAAGGTAAACTGAACATGGATTTTGTAAGTACAGATGCTCATGATCATGATGGAATGACTAGAAAAATGCATATGATAAGGTTTATAAATATGTACCAAGTCATCGGTATATCTGACCCAAAACCGTGCAAGAGCTCTCTCATAGGGATCAACAGGAAGCAATGGGTTCTGTGACCATGTTTCATCAATGTATTCAACAATAATCATTGATTCACATATGGGTTTTCCAGCATGAACTAGCACTGGAGTCTTCTTGTGAACTGGGTTGTATTGAAGGAGTTGAGGACTCTTGTTGAAGCGATCTTCCTCTATGTTCTCATATGGTATACCCTTCAGCTTTAGGGTCCACATCACCCTCCAAGTGAGGAAACTATACCAAAATCCGTGTAGCTTCACCTCTGCCATCCTTGCTTGTGTTTTCTTTAGCCAACTTTACCCTGCTTTTATAGAGTGATCCATGAAGTCATCTTGCTTGTTCAACAAGCTGAAAATTTCTTCATTCTTCTTCTCTATTCTTTGTGGACACCGTCATTCCACGTACAAGCCTTTTTTCCCCTCACCAACCAGTATTAATTCAAAGAAATTTTGTCTCGGATTGCAGAGATAAAAAAATGTAGGGCACACTTAATTAAAAAAGAAAGTGACACGATTTTTTATATATTTGGTGGAAGGTATTTTTTTCATGTAACATGAACAAAACATACACGTAATTTATTAGCATATGTTTTTAGAATAAGATTTTCTTATTTCTATTCATTGTATAATGTGATATAATCCTATATGCAATTGTGGAAAAGTGTGAAGAGTTTTTGATTTTTAGTATTTGAAAATAGGTTTATTTTTTCTGCAGTAAAACTTTTTTTTTCTGTAGCAGACATAAAAAAAATAGGATCCACTGATTGAAAAAAAAAAAATCTGAATCCAACATCATATCTTGACGTTGTTATGTGTTGTTAGAAAAAAAAATTCTTCTTGCAGTGACATATTCTCCTTTGAAAATTCATAAGATGATGGAATATTATAAGCATCCAATCTTGTCTGAGTGTCGTAAGTGCTTGCATCACTGACTTAGTAGACTAATAAATATGGGTAATAGTCAAATCGAACAAACATAATTTTATTTTGACACTTTTCAGAATGCAAGTATTGTCAAAATTAGCATGTAATACGTTTTGATTCAGGGAAATAATATTCTTGTGTCGTAGAAAAATATATCTTATGTTATAAAAATAAAATTATACGTGGATTCACAGATAAGAGGAGAGAGAGAAAAAAAGAGTGGTGAGACTCATTCTTTTTTTTGTGTAAGAAAATTGTTTATCTCATGTAAAATGAGATAAATATAACTCTTTGATTTATAATTGTAATGTTGAAGTGACCAGAATTACAAAGAACTGTAGACAAATTGCTGCACAAGAAAAGGATAAAGACCAATTCACTGTCAGATATATAATGGTAGCTAGACAAAATTCATTGGTCAAAGTTCGTTTTCCTATGGTAACTTGTCAAGAAAACAAACATTATTTTGAAACAAGTCAAGGTAGCTTCCAGAGCGTAACAAAGTTGATAATATTAATTAAATATATGAAGAGAAGAATTCCATGGCTAGCTGGTTTTATGGTAGAAGTAACTAAAATGAACTTACCGTTACAAGGAACTTGTAAGTGAATGCATCATTGTATTTAGGCAAGATGTTTGGCGACTAACCACTCAACAAATAAAATTTTATAGATGGCCAAATTTCGGAGCCCCTAATTTCCAGTGTTAAGTGTTATGAAAAAGACAAAGTAATCATTTCCGTCTTGAACATGCACAAAGTAATCATGTTAAAGTTTTATCAAAAATAATATAAACCATTATGTTTTGTTTAACAAAAAAATAAACCCATTAAATTTTTTTTAACCAACAATTTAAATTTTTGTGTTAAATTAATTCTTTATACAATATTAGAGTTTTGCTTACGAGATAATGAGTTCGATTCTAACTGTCCACGTTTCAGGCCCAACTCTTGCATAAAAAGATGTATTAAAAAATAATATAAATATTGAAAAGATCATCATCCAACCGCTTAAACTAATTTTGGGTTGAATTGTATCTTTACATATTTATTGTGCATGTGCTTCGTTCGGATTAACCAGGACTGTATTGACAAGTAATTCTAGGGTTGTGCATGAGTCGAATCGAACCGAATTAGTTTAAATGGTTTGGTTCGGTTCAAAATCGATTTTATTCAGTTTGAAACCGGTTCGGGTCGACCCTATTCTGTTAAGAAAAAATAAAAAATTTAAAGAAATAAAGTAATAAAAACCAGTTCGGTTCGAAAATGTTTTGGTTCTTCAACTGATTTTAAAAACTAATTTGGTTCTCAAACTAGTTCTTTAAAAACCGGTTTGGTTCATGAACTGATTCTTTAAAAACCAGTTATTTTAAGTGCAATTCGGTTCGGTTCATGATTCGATTCAATTTTTTTTGTTATTTTGTATACCCCTAAATAATTATATGCTGCTAGTTAACTATTTAGCAAGGCTCTTGCTCACTAATTCTAAACTTCTAATAGCAATTGATTTCATCACGATATAGAGATGAATAGCCATACTTTTTTTTCGAGGTCACGTCAAAATTGAAAGAATCTACATTTCTAAATTGTTACTGCATGATCCTTGAAGTGCGCAGAGACAAAAATATTCTCCTAAACATGGAGTAGGCCGGGGAGTATTTCGTGAATAAGCACTTGCCTACGTAAACACTTCACTCATATTTAAATATTTCATTAGAAATTAGAAATCTGTGTATGCCTTTGTTGAAGATTTTTTTAGTCAAAGATTAAATTCCTAATATTATATTGATAATTTGATATGCATGTTTTTTAAGTGTAAAATTAAATTTTTAAAAAAAATATTAAGATTAGTAATTCTTGCAAAGTGTTCTCCAACAATAATTGAAGTATATTGTAATTTACAAGTAAAGCTCATCTTGATATGTATATATATACGGAGAACTTATTTTGCTTCCCACTTAAGTTGAGAATAAAAATAAAAGGAACTTATTTTGCTTCCCACTTAAGTTGAGAATAAAAATAAAAGGAAAAATTTATAAATTAAAAGTTATAGTAAAAATTACAAATTTATAAAAGTTAGTTTTTTTTTGGGTAAAGAAAGTTATAGATTTAATAATAGAAGTTATAGACTCGTAAAAGTTGAATTTTTATTATTATTTTGTATGTAATTTTTTAAAAAAGTAATATGATATTAATTAAAAAATTATAAATTGTGAAAATTTAATTTTGACATGACCAGTGATTCTCATTCTCACATCTACTTATTTCGGGATATAATTATGTCGCAACCGGATCTCGACATGACGGCGAAAGATATTAAATGTTTAAAAATAATGGAGTCGCCACCAAAGTTTAATTGAGAAAACATTGGAAAAATCATTTTGTTTGAGAAAACTGATCTTTGGAATAGAAAATGGATTCAGGAGTCGATTTCGAGTAAGGAAGGTGTCAGCATTCTACACCGTCTGTTTAAAAAAATAGTTACCTTATATTAATTGTGCAAATTGTTGATAAGATTTTAAATATTTATTTTACCAAAAGGAATTAAACAAAAATGTTTAACAAAATAAAATTAATTTTTTGAAATTTTATTTTTGTGCTTGACGGAGAGGATCTCGCTCTGACGTATCCCTCGGTACAATAGGGAACTCAAAGCTATGTCGTTCTGTAGAAAGTATTTGTGTGTTGATTAATTTTAATTTTGAAAATAATTTTAAAGAAAATCATTTGAACGTTTTAGATTTGATAATTTCGGACTATCAAGTTGTCGCAGCTAAAATGATCCGAAAAGATAATTGTAGGATTAACAAACTGTCTCAACTCAGCTAATCCTTCTAAAATAAATTTCATATAATTATTTTCATTATTATAAATTTTAAGATAAATTTAAACAAATTTTGAATCACCAAGCCGTCACGGCTAAAATGAATCAAAATAAAAAATGGGGTTAACAAGTTAATCTTCTTTAGTCTTTATTTTTTAAATTAACCCAAAATCAATTATTTTAAATAAAATTTTAATTTTTTGTTTGTTTGTTTATTGTTACTAAATGGTCTAAAATCATCAGACTGTCATAGTCGAAATGATTATAAAAATAAAGGATTTAACAAACTGTCACAACTCAGCTCTTTTTATGAAATTTAGGAGTAAATTAATACAAAATAAAAAATTTAAATTAGCTCGAGTCAATCAACTTATCACAACTAAAATGACTCAAGAAAATTATAAGATTAGAAAATCGTCACGGCTAAGTTAACCCCTTGATAAACCTTTAGTTTATCATGTTTATAGGGCTAATATTGCATGAATTATATAGTCAAAAGCATGAATACTTAGGTTTTATAATAAAAATCATGGAAATTGGATTTCTATCTAACATATCTTGTTCTTATTTGTTTCGAAGGAAAATTAATACAAATTTGAGCAAGAATGGATTTAAAGATTGAAGTTGGAATTGGATGAGAACATTCAAATGTCAGAGATCAACATTAAAGTGTTAAAACATGAAGAAAAAGCTATTGTTTGAGCACGTTTTAATGTTGAGAAGGGCGTTCAAATGTGAAGAAAAAGAAAGGACGCGCGTTCAAATGTTGAATCCAGAATTCTAACGCTCTATAAAAAAGGAGCTTGTCATCCAGGGAGCGCGTTCAAATATTGAATCCAGCATTCTAACGCGCTATTAGAAAGAAAATTAAAATCCAGGAGCGCGTTCAAATGTTACATTAAACATTTAAACGCTCTAGCATGAAAGAAGAAGCGCGTTTAAATGTCAACTCTAACATTAAAACGCCATCTAACAGTGGAAAAATGCGTTGATCAACATTTGGTAAATACTTTCATTTGGTGGTTGAATGACTCTATGTATTTTGGCCACTAGAGTTAATATCTCATTTCGGAAAAATAATCAAACAGGATGTACATCCAAAATGACTATAATTACGAAAGAGTCACACTCTAGTCGAGATTTTCGCGATAACCAAACAGGATGTACATCCAAAATGGCTACCACTACACAACCTCTCTCCTATCTTAAGCTGTACTCAGACTCGAGCGTAGGGCCTCACTCATACGTGTGTGATGAATGTGTAGGTGTTGTGTGTAACCCAATCAACAAAACAATTGAGAGCAAGCATATAATAACACAAAAGTCCCCAATTCTTTAATCCCCAGTGAAGTCGCCATCTGTAACGATCCAAAATTTAAAAATTTAAAACAATGAAGTAAAGCAAATATATAAAAACAACTATGAATTCGCACAATTAATTAAAACAGGCTTGACTCTCTAAAATCCCCAGTGAAGTCGCCATCTGTAACGATCCAAAATTTAAAAATTTAAAACAATGAAGTCGCCACCAATTTTATTTACTTTGGAAAAATTGGAAAACC